CGGTGGCCTCGCAGCAGCGCCGCACGCAGCCGGCCACGCCGGCCAGCGCGTCGGCCAGGCCCTCCTCCCACTCGGACCACAGGCCGTGGATGGGGCCGAACTCCTTCATCTCGTCGAAATATTCTGAAAGAAAAAACAGGTTCTTCGGTTCACAGACATTTTAAAATCCCTGCTGACGGACGGGAAGAGAGGGGCTGACGCCTGCCACTGTCCCGCACGGATGCTTAGGCAGGAACGCAAGAAACTGGAGGTCGGCCCGCAGCAGCCTGCCCGGCCGCCCCGATGAGCTCGGGCCCGCCCTTGAAGGACGGCCGTCCACGGGTCGCCAATACAGCGTCCCTTTCTCATTCTCGGAGGTGTCCTGCTTGCGTGACAAATTGTACGGTCACCTCATCTTCCTGGAGTTCTGCCTCCCGAACACAGGACCCCTGAGTGTCTCACAGGCAACAGGACCCACAGACAGAGCCTGTCTTCCCCCTTCCCCTGACTCCATGCCCTGCCGAGGGCTAAAGGCTCCCGGAGATCTAGGCAAGACGTCGGGGCTGCACCCTGGACTCAGGTCTGCACGCTCATCGCCGCTTCCTACGTGTCTTAACCTTTGCCACCTGTCTGCCATCTACCTACCCATCCATCCACCCACCCACCCATCCTCACTTCCACGGTCATCAGCGCCTCTCGCTCGCACTGCCCAGTCTCCCTCTTTCCGTGTTTGTCACAGTCGATAAACACGGAAGATTTTTAGGAGTTAGAAAGTCCTCTGTGACCAGCCCTCACCCTGCCTCTCTGGATCCAACGCTTGAGATTCTCCACCAAAGATATTTTAATGGAAGCCAAGATAGCCGCTCATTCATGAACATCTTACGCTCTCTCTTAACTCAGACATTGCACGTACCCCTCTGCCTGGTCCTCTTATCGTTTCTACCACCCAACAGCCTACTTTGAATCCCTTCAACCACAGTGTAAGTAAATCTCTCCTGAGACCGCGCCAAAGGAGTCGCAGACGCTTCGCCTCAGGGAGCCCATCGTGATTTCATGGCTCCAGTCAAGCCTGCTGTTTCTCACGCTCCCACCACCCGAGTCTGGTGGGATTCCCTGCCCAGCTGACATGCTCCTGGGCCATATGCTCCCTGAAGCAGGGGCTGAGTCTTATCTTTTTAAATCTCAAAGCCTGATGCATAATGTGTTCAATAAATATTTTCACATCAGTGAAAGAATAAATGAGTAACAAAAGGACTCTTCAATGCTTGATAAGCCATTTATTAAAAAACTTGGATTTCATTTTAAAATCTGGATGCTTTTACATTTTTGCTTTCACACTATCAACTTTCAGTGACAGTTTTTTATGGGAGAGAATGAATAAGCCGTGAGCTTTTTTTTTTTGTCTAGCTACTGAACCGGTGATCTTGGAGTTCAGGGGATGACGCTAACCAACTGGGCCACACGGGCCAGGGCACCCATTGATTCTCGATGAAGCAGACTTTCCTACCACCAAAGCTTATGTTCCTTCATTATTTTTTCAATCATTAATTGAGCACCTACTACGTGTGAGGCGACACCATCTAGATACTAGAAATACAACAAACCTTTTCCCTCCATGTCCTGATTGAACTTACAGTTTAATGGGGGTTCGGGGGAGAACAGACAATATAGGAATTTTAAATAGTTAAATTCTAAAACCAATGTATATTAGGAAATATATTTTCTGACTTAGCCATCTATTTTTAATATAGGTAAATGCAATTAGAAAATTAGCAAAAAGTCATCATGGAATTAGAAAGAAACCATGATGGAATAAAGTCTAAGTTATAAACTAAAAAACAATTAAAAGTAAACAAACAAATCAGAAAGAAACTAGAGAAAGGACATAGTGATAGAAAAATAAGAAAAGGGACCTATTTTCCAATTTACAGATCTCTCTGCCACACATGGCCAGGCCCTAATACAGTGCTCGCCCCTTGCAAAATCCCCGGGAAATGTGGAAACCTGCTTCCTGAAGCTACATCTTTGATTTTAAGCTCCGGTCCCTGTTGAACACTTAGACCAACCTCACAGGACGACATCCCCAAATTGTAAGCTCAGGGCTCGCTTCACGGTTATTATTTACACGTGGAACAAGAACAGCTATTGGTTGATGAGAGCAAATGGGGCCTGGCCATGACTAACTCCCAAACCACTGAGGAATCAGGAATGTTCACAGTGTGTCTGGGCAGAAGCCACACTTTGAAGGTGAAACTCTAACTTAATGTTGCTCGACTCCTTACATGAGGAGCTTGGAAGTCGCCACTGGCTCCTAACAACCACTAAAATGCTGAAAGGACTGAAAAACCCACATCTTTTCTTGGAACTGTAATGGGGGGGGGCAGGACGCAGGACAAACCACTGTCCCCAGGACGGTGATGACAGACGGGCAGAAGCAAGGAATCGGCCTTCCCGGGGCAGAGACTGGAGGGCGGAGGCCAGCGCTGGAGCCAGGGCCAGACACTCCGTTCTCAACAAGGCCTGACCTCAGGGGACCTGGTCACAGAGCCTCACCTGGAGGGGTGTCGTCAGAGCCTCACCCACTTGCAGGGAGGGGGACCCTCAACTCCAGCCTGCTCTGGCCACTCTGTCCCCATAAGGGGGGAAGAAAAACCTGGGAACCTCTGTGCAGTTCAGTCCAGAGGCCCAGGCTCCCTAAAACACTCGCGAAATCCTAGGACTGAGGACACTTCCCCTCCCCCTCACCTCCCGTGACACAGTTGCTGTGACCGGGTGTATCAGGCCCAGCGGTCAAGAAAAAAGCCAAAAAAAGGCTCATAAAAGGCAAAAAACGCCATCTGAAGGGACAGAACAGGCCTCCGACGTGGCGGGGATGCTGGATCCGTCGGAGCAGGGACTTAGAGCCGCGACTAAACTGTGAGGGCGCTGAAGGGTGAGGTGTTCACGGGGAAGGGCGAGGACAGACGCCACTGCGAGCCGAGCGCAGTGCCGAGAAAGCACCCGGGCGGCGCCAACTCCACGCGGCCCCCACGCGGGAGTGAAGACCCGCCAGGACCAAGGAGCTTCAGAAGCGCGTCCCAGTGATTCGACATACCCCGCTCCTCCTTGTAAATCCTCTGAGATATCTTGTCGATCAAATTTATTTTCTGGGTAAACGTTTCGATGAAGTCGCTCATCTGCACGAACTCCTCGGGGCGGCCCTTCAGGCCTCTCATGGACAGGGCGGCCGCCCGGACCGTCTGGCCCACCTTGCTGAGCAGCCCGGGGCCCTGCTTCTTGTGAAAAGACAGCTCCTGGAAACGAAAACATGAAATATCGGTGGTCAGAGAAGCGACAGCGTTCTCAAATCCAAGTGACAACGAAACCCAATGAGAAAATTAAATCAAGATGATAACGCGTTTCATCTACGTCTTTTTTTCACTGTAGTTTGGAGCAGATGCGTTTCCCGGGGCGCAGCTCCTCCTCCGGGTCTCGGCCCCTCGGCGGGGGGCAGAGGGGAGCAGAGTGGGGCGCGTTTCCCCCGAGCACGGAGCTTTACGAGGTTACAGACAGCTGCTTCACGGTTAACGCACGAGGGACAGGGACAGGCTTGCAGGATGGAAAAAGTTCCCATCACTTTGTGCGCAAACAAGGACAGGTGCCCTGCCTGACCCGGCAGCACACTGAGCCGGGGGGGCCTCGGCGTCACCTGATAGAGTGAACGTCATCAGAGATGGCACGGGCCACCCTGGCCAGCTGTCGCCGCCACCGCTGACTGCGGACAATGTCCCTAAGAGCTCCTAGGGTCCTGGGTCAGGCCACAGACTCATCTCACGTGGGTCACCACGGGCTCCCGCACAGCACGACCTGCCAAGGCTGAGATGGGCCACTTTCTAGCTTCTATCCCTTGGGCAACAACTGAGGGGCTGAGAAAACTCAGCGTTGGTCCGTAATTGTTTAATATCGACTCTTGGTGCTATCCATGCTCTTTCTGATGAGTTATGTCATCATAGGAAAGAAAAAAGGAGAGGCACTTAGACGGTTTCTGTATTAGAAATTGGAGACCCCCCCAGTAAGTAATTGAAGGAAAAGTAAAAAATTGTATTACCCATCTAGGTGCCAACCCATCCATCCGTCCATTTAATAAAGGCGTCTATCCTAACTTGAAAAGCCCAACTTAACTATCCACGACTACTCAAGTGTCAGTAAGAGAAATATATTTGTGTATGCTCAGTATTGGCGACACGGGACATTAAAAAATCTACCAAGAGAACCAGGAGCACGCAGCCTGTGAGAGAGGGACTGGTCTCTGCTATTTACACGTAGATCTGACACAGGGCTCGTCTGCGGGCCGCGCCTCCAGTGTCTAAAAATTCTTCATTCCAGGGCCCTGCTGCCTGGGGAAGGTACAACCTCCTACAGACGCTGAAGGGTTACATGAGCGCCGATGGGAAGTCTTTACCGAAGCCTGTGCAGTGAGAAACACTTTGAAGTCCCTGTTGAACGTTAAAGTTGGATGGTCAGCGATGCGGTTCAGAAACTTATTCAGCGCCTTCCTGCGCGTCTCGATGAAGTCGTCGTTGAACCGCTCCACCATCCCCTTCACTATAAACTTCTCCGGCAACGGCTGAGGGAAAAAAACACGCAAAAACCAAAAATGTTCAGAGGGTGCCTGAGCATCAGGTGGCGGGAGGACCGAAGAGATTCTACACGGTTCCGTTTTAGAGGCTATCTGAACATGCGATCGTTTCTCATCGTTTTAAAAATTCACATTAAAACCAAACATGACAAAATTTTAACATTACAGTAGTTAAAAAAAGGAAATCTGTACTTAGATCGAAAGTTTTAAAACAAATGTTTCCAACACAAAATGAATTACACTGAACGCGCAAGGTCTGGAGTTTGGTTTTGGGCATTTTAACGACTTGAGAGACAAGGTGGCAGCCGTTCCGTGAAAAACAGTGTCGACTTCATCTAAAAAATTCTGCCTTTTCATAATTTAGGATACTGATTCCTACATGTTTTCTTCCAAACTTTTTTCCATACGTACATTAAAATGGAATTTTAACTGACGTTTCATCCTAATAGAGATCGGAGGGAAATAATTGGAAAATCTAAGTTTGGATAAAAGTAGAGTGTAGCAAATATTTAATGGTTGAAAACCTACATTCTGTTCTTTTCACACACATGAAACACTGTGAAAGCAAAGAAATCCTTCGATCGCAATAACCCGCCAACCTGAAAACCCCCACGCACGATGTCGACTTACCGGAACAATGAGAGTCGGGTGGGCCTCCTCGAGCTTTCCTTTTAACCAAAGGAAATCTTGGTAACGCCTCCTAACTTCAAATTCGCTGGAGTCAAACTCCCCGCGAGACGTCTGCGGAAAGCAGGAGGAAATAACAGCACAAAGTAAGAGAAGACATTTACCTCCTGGTATTTCAGACCGTCTAAAATAAAGGGGCCTCTAAGAAACATTAGCAAATCCTAATTATTCAGCGTTTGTCAGCCTGTCTTTTTTTTCAGTCATCAACTCACGGAGCCGATGAAACAAAGCAATCTCTCCAGTATTTCCACCAGGAAAGCAAACATCACGCTTGAATTTAAGCTCCACACTGAAAAATCTGTCTTAGAGCCGCCATCTGCCCCCCGCGAGATGCCACGACTCTTCTCTTTGGCACGACTTTCTCGCTAACGAGACAGTGTGCTCCCAAGTTAGGTTTCAAATCGATGTCTTTTCTCGAGATGATCGGAATCCAGAATCTGAGGAAAGTCCCGTATTGAGATTTGGAAAAGACCCCGAATGTAACTGAGAAAAAAAATGATGTCCTAGAATTTGCTCGGATGAATTGCTTCGCTAAAATTTGCATTTAGTATGTGAACATTCTAACATTTTGATGGAGTGACTTTACCCACACTGCTTTAAAAATGTTATTAATGGAGATTTGGTGCGAAAAGACAATGTGCCGTCATCCTCAAGGAATTTTATTTTGAGTTATATGCTAAACTCCTGAAAATTAAGCAAATATATTAAAATGTCTGTTCTCAATTAAAGATTGAGAACATAAAAATATGTCAACACCTAGGACACGCGCATGGGTACAGTCTTAACTACTATGCAGAAGGGTGGTCATGGAAATGGTGAAAATAGGAAAAGCCGACCTAGAAGAGACACAGTTTAACAATAGAGATGAGTTGGTGTGTGTACCTATACAGGCAAATATACACACACAAACATACATATACACACAAAATATAGTTTAGAGTCACTCATTAAAAGATATTTACCGAACACCCCCGTGTGCCAGGCACATATTTGCGGGTCACTACCGATTTCCAGGAAAAAAAAATTGGCATAACTAAAAATGAGAACACTCAGAACTAGGCAGTTAAGACTGAGCTTTATATGTCCTCGAGAATTTCTAACACCTTAAGTAAATCTAAGGCAGGAGGAAAATATAAAATTAAGTCACTGACGGCTTTGTCACTGTCAGGGATCTAGCTCTCCAACGTGACCGCGGCAACAAGGAGAGGGCGGGGCTCCTGCTCCTACTGTCAGGCTTTCTCTTACCCCTGAGAGGCTGTAAGAAATACATACTAATATGACAAGAAAAACAAGTGTTATCGGCTGGGCTCAGATCATAACTCATCCCCCTGCGGCAGGGGTAGAATCGCTGTCCCACCTAAAGTGGCCAACTTGGGTCATTCGGAGACAGAGAAAAGCTGCATACAGGGATTTGATGACCGATCCCCAACTCAGAAAGGATGTCTGCTCTAAACTCTAAACATCAATCAGTGAAAAGAAAATGGTTATACTGTGGGTTGTTTTATTTTGTCCAAGGTGAAGTCTTTTTGGGGGGCTTGTCCTAGGACTGGGGACCCCGGGGCTGTAGGCCTGGCTCTGCCCTGGGATGACTGGACACCAACGGTATCTCCTGTGTAAGGTAAAGAGGCCACTTGCTCTTTTTTGGAAAACCAATGACATGATTTCCTGCAACCCTCAGAAGACATGTGAACCCAAAGTATCCAAGCGCGTTTTTAACTCATGGTTCTCTTTATGAGCCAACTGAGGCTCTTGTTTTCCAAAGATAGTTCTCTACAATTTTTGAAACGAAAAACTTAAAATGTTCCTATTTTAAGAAGCACAAATCCTGAAATGTGACTGTTACTCTCAAGTCGTCTTGACTTTGACCGACTGGACTTGGAGTAAGGGAAGCCTGGCTAAGGTGCGACATCTCACCCAAAGTGCTTGAAAAAAAAAAGTAAGTCAACTCAGCAAAGATTCCGGGATGTCGGAGTCACAGCGAACAAGACGCGCTTCCCAAGCTCAGAGACAGCCAGGCGCCCAAGAGAGTGCTCGTTCCGTATCTACCTTGGTGACGACCCTGTAGGTGATGAAAGTTTCGATGGTAGTGACGTGGCTCTCGGGCTCGTCGACCGTGATGAAGAGATCTTTCAAATCCGGCTCGTCCTCGAACCTGACCTGGTTGATCATTGACAGAGGGGACGCTGGCATCAGGGGGCTCAGAGAGTTCATGTCCGTCAGCGAGGCATCCTGAGGAAGAAAACGGTCAAAGGGTAACATTACAGGAAAACAGGGTTAAAATCTCCCTTTTCTCCGACACCACAGGATTAATGAAATGCGTCAAAACTGAGGGGCTGGTGGAAAAGCTAATACCACAAAAAAAGAGTCGGTGGCCAGGGGACCTTTCTCCTCAGTTGTGCAGAAAACTGGAGGGTCTCTGGACGCAAGGGCACCAGGCAGGCTGGAGGAAGACAGGCCCCAGGAAAGCACAGTCAAGGCCACAGCCTGCATCCCAGATGGGCAGGCCCAGCCCACTTGCCTGCTTGGCACAGGAATGCTGGCGGGAAGCTGGCTGGAGGTTTCCTCCCTCAGCCGCCACGGCAGAAAGAACTGGCTGAGGGTCCCCTAGTGACCACCTGGCCTCTGCAGCCGCCCTGCAGGGAAGCCCAGCATGCACCCAGGATCCTCTGAACTTCATTACTCGGTGAAGCTGGGGGGGGGGGCGGTTCCCAAGGCCCTCTCAGTATGGATGAACTTAGTTACACAAAATTCGGTTAAAAATTATTCTAAGTGTTGGGATTGCTGTTGAAGTTCACTTTTTTTTTTTAATATATATATCTTTACTGATTTCAGAGAGAGGAAAGGAGAGGGAGAGAGAGAGAGAGAAACACCCATGATGAGAGAGTCATTGATCAGCTGCCTCCTGCACGCCCCCGACTGGGGATCGAGCCCGCAACCCGGGCATGTGCCCTGACCGGGAATCGAACCCCGATCGCCTGGATCCTAGGTCGACGCTCAACCGCTGAGCCACGCCCGGCCGGGCTCTACTTCTTAAATAACACTGAATACCTTTCCTATAACTAGCACAGTGAACACACACACACACAACATGGTTTCAGGCTGAGATCTGATTAGGTGCAGAAGAGAAGCCGCAGCCGATCAATGACTCTCATCGTTGATGTTTCTCTCCCTCTCTCTCTCTGAAATCAATAAGATGATATTAAAAAAGAGAGCGAGATGAATAAATAAAGTGCCTACATCGCCTGCTTGAAGGCAGATATGTCCTGTTTTTGATGTTAGAGATAGTGAAAGCCACAAATGTTAAATCCACAGATCGTCAGGGTTTCCTGAAACTGTCTTCAAGTACGCTTGGGGTCCTGGGGACACGCAGGAAACGCAGTGTGTCCTGTTGTGGCCTCAGTGATGACTAAGCAGAGCCAACCAGGAAAAATCATTATTACTCTGAGCAGAACTCCCGACGAGGTGGAAAATGTGACTATAGGAAGACACCGCTGGCCCGCTCAGGATGTAATAAAACGGTTGCTACGGAGAGCGGCCGGCCGGGGGCTCCCTGCGCAGGCCGGGGGGCGGGTTCGGGCGCTGTCCTCTGAGCGCCTCCCCGGGCTGTCCTCGGGGTGTTCTCCAGGGCAAGGCTGCACCCTGAGATCAGCCGTGCCCGCACTCAGGCGCATTTCAGAAGGGACTTAACACGCACTTGTAACCTCCCAGGCAAACCGACCACCCCCTTCTCCCCTCGCCACACGCAGTGACTCGCAGGGAGCGACACACGAGCACAGCCTTTGAGAAAGAACCTGGAACGCTGGGGGCGCTCTCAACAGCCACTGAACACAATGCCGCCCTTATTTCTAATTCAAAGGGTCCCCCCTCCTTCATTCTGTCCTCAGGGCACCTCCTTGGACTCCATGGAGTGTTTTCCACAATTTCCATAGGTTTAGTCTAAGTGGCCATATATATTCCTCACTTACACTATCAATATCTTACCACAATACCCTCTCTTAAATACGTACAAGCTCCTTAAACAGAAACAAATATATTGTTGTGACTCTCTGAGGGCCTCACTACAAACGCAAAACAGACGTGTACCCCCGTTAAAAACGTAAATCTCATAAACCACGGTAGTAAGTGCTGATTGTTTTCTGAGCGACCAGCACCTCTTGCTTGTAACCCTCTCGGCAACCTGATGGACACGGGCGCAGTTACCCCCGCATTTATTTCACAGGCAATACCCCTGCGGGACAGGAATGACGCTGACTCTCCCCGAATCGCTGGTGTCTAAACTGGCAGAGCCCTGGCTGCCGAGGCTCAGGTGACTAGGGCACCGTCCCGTGCACCAGGAGGTCGCAGATTGGAGGCCTGGTCGGGACACATGCCCGGGTTGCGGGTCACCCCGGCCAGGCTAAAGTATATTCTTAAAGTGAGTAACTGCGGATGTTTATTTTAATGTTTTAGTCTTCTATCCTCTTGGAGAGAACTGGGATGCAGGTAAGTCGCTGCTGACCACTCCGACCGCACAGCTCCCGACTGCCGCCTTCTGGTCCCCCAGCCCCTGGGAGCCTGGAGCCCATCAGTCACGGTGATGCCAGAGCATCTGTCAGAACCGAAAGGATGCAGAAATAAAACTGCACCCCTGCGACTCAGCAGCCTCTTCTTTAGAGTTCAGGAAGTTCAAATCTGGAGTCTTTTGACATCATTTTTTCCAAGACATTTGTAAGAATTTTTTCCATTGCCGCTGACCATAAACAAGTGTGACAGTGTTGTCTGCATGAAAGAACCATGGTGTGTGTGTCTGTGTGTTTTCTCCTTTTGGCCCTTCGACATCCGCTCCCCTTGGCAAACATAATGTTGGCCGTAGCTTCTGCTAGTGCCTCTCCTTCTTTTTAAAAAATATTTTTATTGATTTCAGAGAGAGACAGGGAGAGGGAGAGAGAGAGAGAAACATCAATGATGAGAGTCGTCGATCGGCTGCCTCCTGTGCGCCCCCTGCTGGGGACTGAGCCACAACCAGGGCCTGTGCCCTGACCGGGAATCGAACCGCGACCTCCTGGATCGATGCTCAACCACCGAGCCACATATATGCACATACATACGCCTCACACATGTACACGCTATACACCTGTGCATTACACACGGGTGTACATTGTGTGGGTGTGTTTTATAGATTTCAGCACATCATCGAGGTAGGAAACCACTCACTCATGCAAGGATATTACTTCTTTGTTCCTAAAATTTGCCCCAAACCCCACAACTAGTTCCTGCATTCAACTGTCTTCTTTCAAATCTCTGGAGAGAATTCTGATTCCTACCTGGGCCGTGACTGAGATGCGGGCACACAACAGGAACCAGAGATGGCTCAGAGGACAAACGTGGGAAGTCAATCCCCGAACCTCCAATTTCTTCTTCCAGGCATTTGCCACAACTGTTGAGAAGTATAATTATGTCCTGCCATTGCCACGCTGAATTTCCGGATTGACAGAGACCCAACGTGTAGAGGAACCAGATGTCTCAACCACTATATCCTATTTTTCCTTCAAAAATGATCCCCCCCCCCGCCGGAAAAACATGGGTGAGTCTTTCAAAAGCCGCGTTCAAACAAGCATGTTTGCCGTGACATTTCTGATTTACCAGAAACACACCCTTAACTTTCCATGATTCTTATACAACACGATCACTTCTTTTTTCTCCCCAATGTGTTTATAAACAAAACAGTACCGTGTCCTGGAGCTTCGCTGGAGATGGAAGTGAAGCCCGGCCCCTTCCAGAACTCCCTCTCTGCCCGTAGTTTTGAAAAAGAGCATCGGGCTGTCTTAGCCCCGGGCCGGCGGTAATGAGGGTAATTACACCCGAGGCCTCCCGAGCGCCCCACGCGCCGCGGGCCTTATCGTATTTTCTGGTCCTGAACTCCTTTGAAAAGGTCCATAATAAGGGCTGTCATTTACTGAGGCCCAGATAAGCATCGCAGCGCCTCCCTGTGACCTATTTACCAATGTTCTGCTTCAGCGACTGTTTCTTCTATGCCTTATATCCTATTGTAACGTATTATCTCCCCTCCCAAGGGGACCTCTTCCCTGTAAACGTGGAGAAATTCGGCCCTTCTGTCCATCTCGATCCTTTGCAAGCCTGCTCTCCCCTGGCCCAGTTCTAACGCGATTCTCCCACGACTGCTGTCATTTCTAAACTTTTGCTTCTCTTGAATCACCGACCATGCGCTCCGACCTTCCAACACCCAGACTTGATCTTTTAAGTCCGTGTTTCCCGCCTTCCCTGCGGTCCCCAGAGACGGGGCATCGTTTTCCCCTCACTGGACGATCTGTGAGCTTCCTACCGCCCCCTGATTCACGCTGCCACTTAGAGTCCCCGCCCCACCTCCCACCTGGGCTCCAAGGCTGTGACGGCAAGATCTGGCTCTCCCCCCAGATAATCCTCAGCACGGCACCTTACCTAAAATACTTAAGCTGCACTTGCCAGGTACTTGTACTTTACTGGGGGGAAGAAGAAATGTCAGTGTCAAAGATCCTACTCTTCAAAAAGCTTCTGGACAGGGGCATGGTATAAACTCACCGATTATCCAAGGGGATAAGGGTCGGAGATTGTAAATGTGCCCTGAGCCCAACAGTCGATGTGAACGTGCCGACGGCAACGCTATGTCCTTCAGAAGGAGTTCCTGATGCCCGGGGCTGGCCGGCAGGACAGACGGCGGGAGGCCAGACAGGGAGGCCTCAGGTGTGCCTGCCTGCGGCTAATGGTTGGGCATTTCCACTTGCTGCAACGTAAGCAGGCAGCTAATGTAGGATCCCCAGGTATTCTTTCCAGACTTTAACCAGCACTGTACCCTCACCTTCACCTCGTGGCCAGTTTCTACCGAGGGGGGTCTTAACTTTTTCTAAGTGTCGGGCGCAGGGGGTTCTCAAACGCTAACAAGCGGGGTGGAGCCAGGTGCACGGGGCGGAGGCTCCCATCCTTTTAAAAGGATGCAGAAGTACAAACGCAAAATTAGGGAGGAAAACAAATTGATTTTTAGAATGGAGAAAGAAACCTCAACCGCGGGTTGGAGCCATGGAGATCCAGACGCGGCCTTTCTTCTGAGACAGCTGTAAGCAATTCAGCAGACAGGCTTGCTCGGAAATGCTTCAGGGTTTTTGTTTGTTTAGTCCAGGGATGGGGAACCTTTTTTCTGCCAAGTGCCATTTGCATATTTATAACATCATTCTCGGGCCATACAAAATTATCAACTTAAAAATTAGCTGTGAAAGAGGCTCCTAGATTTATTGAATTTCGAGTCC